TTTTCCCCTAACACCTTCAAAAGTAGTAAATACCAGGTCAGGATACAGACAAATAAGGATAAGTTGAATTAGGAGAGATAGCTTCAAGAGTTAAGAAGTTTGACCAAGACTGGCATTTATTCCTTCAGTAAACACCAAACTCTCACCCTGTGGGCACAATTTCCACTAGTGTGACAATTTCTTTTGTCACACTAGTGAAACTGAACTCACTTTTGATATATTCAGATGTGTAATTGCTCCCTTTGCAATGTCATGGTAAGTAGCTTTCATTTAACTGGAGATCCCTTTGTTTAGAACAATGTGCTCAAAACAGAAAATGGTTTTTTTTAAAAAATAATCCAACATTGTCTGTTTAACATTTTTGTTGAAAATGTTAATTTTTTTTGAAGTATAGTTTTCTTTTACTGATGCAAAGGAATTTTCAGTATTAGCACATGAGATGATGATATAGGGTCTTCTTCTTAAGTGTAGAACTGAGTTACCACTGGAGGAGGAAGTTAGGAAATGGGTATATGCAATCAGCTAGGAACCAGATGCCCCAAGCCCCAAGTCCATTTAGCAGCCTGATTGAGAAACAGTTGGAGCCAGGAGGATGCACCCCAGCCCCAACCCAGTGAAGAATGGAATGTCCAGAACACCTACACAATAACACAACGCTAAAGCAATGGACCAAAGCTAGTTTCGGAGAAGTAGGCCAGATGATATAGGCAAAATCAGTTGCCTTCAGTAGCCTAGGAGAACCCCGCAAACTCCATGAACTTTGGTAGACTAGGAGGCCCCATGGGTCTACTCAATCAGCAAGAGATACTACAGGAGACACCAGTGGGGCCGACCCCCACTCCATGCCTTCTTTACCAGTATAAGCACGGCTTCTTGCCCCCAAGGCGGGCATCTATTTGGGACCTCTTTCTGCTCAGAGTTTTCCTGTCCTATCCATCTCTTACTTTTCTGTTCATCTTTATATTCATTACTTTTCTTGCCAAAGACAAGAACTGAGAAAGAGCTTGCCTGGGTTTTTGGACTTTCCACCAGCTCCCAAAACCCTGATTCATCATGACTAAGAGAAGTTGACAGATTGGCAAGCAAGTATTAAGGAACCCAGGTGGAGGGGTTCCATGATGGACTCTTAAAAGGACCCTGGAGATCATCGCATTCACCAGTTTCATTTCAAAGATGAGCCCAGAGAGGTGTAATGATTTTCAAAGCCTGAACTAGAAGCAGGGTGGGTCTCTTAATTCCAAGCCCAGTGCTGCTGCACAAGCCCTGTCCTTCCATTTCAACCTAAGGCTCTTTCTCTTTTTTTCAAATCTGTTATTCTCAGGTTTGTATAGAGGGCTCAGTTAATATCTGACAATTTAGTTCAGCTCAGCAAAGATGTACTGAATACCTACTTTGTGCCAAGTATTGTGTGTTAGGTTTGAATAAAAGTTTAGTTGTGCAACAGGTGATGCAACAGGTTAGGACACAGCACTGCAAGCTAGCCTCAGCCACTTCAGTGCAAGTTCAATCCCCCGCGCCGGAGGTGATCCACATGGAGGTGCAGACCTCTCCTGACCCGCCCGCTGCTCCCATCAGCAGTGTGTTTCGTTGATATGCCTACTCTGCTCCCCACTCTGTCTCTGAAGCCTCTCACCCCCCTGTACCCCTGGCCTGACCCCAGTTTTGTATGCATAAATAAATCTTTTTTTTAAAAAAGTTTAGCTGTGAACCCCACTAAGGACCCAGTTATTTGCTACCTCTTTCCATGGAAGCATTCAACTTACCTGAACCACTGGCAGCTGAAAGGGTCACATGACTTGCTGTGGCCAATAAAATTTGGGCAGTGAAATGTGTCACATCTGAGCTGAGGCTTCTCAGACATTTCCTCTTTCTCTTCTGCCAGGAGAGTGGCATGTCCAGGAGGGGGCTGCAATTCTAGTCACATCCCGTATGAAGAGAGACAGGAGTAGAATCAGAACCACAGCCCATGACATGATAAGAGTAAACCTTTATGCAGAGAACAGTGGAGATTTTGTGTCTTTTTGTTTATTTGTTTTAATCTTGCAGTGTGACTAGCTTAAACCGATAACCATGGGGAGGATCGCAGATGATCTGGAGAGATGGCTCAGTCGCGGCCAAAGCACTGGGTGATGGATGCTTTGCTAGATGTGTACATAGAACATGCAGAAATAGGCCTACAGAGGGCACAGGAAACTCTCCAGGAAAGAGGTGTCAGGAAAGACTTTCTAGAAGAAGGGAAA